GGGGGGTGGGGGGGGGGGGGGTTGGGGCCGGGGCGTGTTGCCTGATGCGAGGCAAGGGTTGCGTTAACGTGCGGCAAGCCGTGTAAAATCGCTTTCTTGTAAGGTTTTCAGGAAGATTTGCGCTGATGCTGTGTCGAGGGTGTCTTGAAACGATGGCCAAGATCGCGTGCCGAGTTTATTCGAATTAGTCATCTCGACACATGAGAACCTAACCATTGTCGGTTCTCCTGACTGCACACTATCTCTATATCGCAACCACCGACCGGGGACTACAGATCGACTACTGCTATGTCATACAGACTTTCAGATTCGTTTTTTCCTTCTCGGTGGTTCTGGTGAAGAGCAGGAACAACCAGCTGTCATCCCCACTTGAATATGAACTTAGAGCAACGGTTGATTACATTTTGGCTTACCATCCTTGGTCGGTTGCCCTTTGCTGCCGTCATCTCGTTGTTTGGTGTTTCCTGGACATAGTGATACGTTCGGGCGGGTGGCCCAAATGGGAGCGGACGAGGCCGAGGTACGGGTGGAGATGTCGTTCCTGGAGATCTACATCGAGAACGTCTACGATCTTCTCGCCGCCACCGATACGGTACGTACAGTCCTAGAGGTAGCACACCTCTTTGTGTTATTTTACAGCAGTAGAGGTTCCTGTTTTATGGTCGCTATTGTCCAAGGGAAAACACCAGCCGTACATCGGGCACTCGACACTGTCTTGAGTATGAGACAACTTGAATGCTCCATCTGTGCCAAGCGATTCCACCGGCCTTAGAACAGGTCAATCGGTCTACCGTACCTAATTATGCATTCCTGAGGTTGGTTCGGCGATGACCAAGATGCTAAGATATTACACCCGCAGCGAAGAGAGTGGCGTTAGAACCGTCTCGTCGAGAGCAATCCGTTGACGCATCGTCTGATTTGTTCTTCCTCTTCGTCGTGGAGTAACAAAGCCTTGAAAACCAGGCCAAGGCGTGGGGCATCCTACGTGGTAGGTATCCTGCGTCACACGGTGGGCCGAGCTTCATTGTCGGATAGCGAATCGCCAGGACGTTTGACGACAGGGAAGTTGTGGTGGTGTTTTTTTTCTTGTTTTTCTTCTTATTGTTGCAGGATGACTGGGCGAAGGCACGCACCGCCCTCAAGCTCGACGACCGCAAGGGCGTGATTCAGGCGCGTGACCTGTCCAAGCACGTCATCAAGTCCGCCACGGACGGGCTGGACCTCGTGAGGAGGGCCACGGCAAACCGACGGGTACGTGCCATGTCGTTGAGGGTTGCGAGGTCGTATTGGTTTTATCGGTGGGCGTGTAAAGCTATTCTCGGTGTTTGCAAATGGTTGTTGGTGCTTTCAATCGCATCGTCACGGCCAGCGCAGCCCACTCTGGATTTTTGCAGAACCTGGATGCCCTCACCCATCGCGTTTACGCTATCACGGTGTTGCGGATGATTGCTGGTGCTGGTTTGACCTGTTCGTGTTCTCTCAGCTACAGCAGCAACCTTTTTGCCTTTCCTTGACACTCGACGCCCCACACAGCATGTTACGATATCGCGTTGGCGCAGACGAGGTGCAGATGAATGCAGACACCTGCTGTATCTTTTTCGTGTTCTTTCAGCTTGCACCGTCCATTCTGACCTTTACCCAGAACCTCGATGCCACGACGCCCGGGTGTGCCTGGTATGAGAACATGCTCGTTAGGTTAGAGGCCATTGTTCTGATCCCCCTCCCTCCCTCTTTCCCCCCACCCCCTATCCCTGATGGTGTGTTTTCACTTCAGGTGGCGTCTACAAGGCTCAACGAAGACTCCTCGCGATCTCACAGCGTCTGCATGGTGAGCCAGCCAGCCAGCCTGCCTGTTTTTTTTTGTTGTTGTTTGGCTGCAGCAGGGCTGTCTGCTGTTCAGACCGACGGCGTTGTCACAGTAGTCCAGTCTCTGTCTCACGGTGTGCCTTGACTTGCTGGTTGTCGTTCTTATTCTGTGTTGTTCTACCTTGGTCTTTTTTGGGGAGAGTAATGGACACGCAGCGTAGACGACAGCCTTTTCCTTACAATGCAGCTCTGCATTTTGCGTCTTCTGGTAGTTCTACGTTACCATGTTTGGCAGAACAGAACTAGCAGTCCCTTGACCCTATCCTACCCTTGTGTATCTCGTGGTTGGCAAGATTGGCCGTGCGGTAAGGGTATCGCCAACTTTGCTGTGGTACACCACTTTCCACCTTAATCTTGGAACAGCATCTTTGGGAATGCCCCCCATGAGCATGACACAATACCCGTTCCACGAAGCGTTTGGTTCTACTGCGCTGCGAGGCCCAATTTTCGACCGTTTTTAGCCTGCTCCTGTTCATGTATTTTCTTGTCGGTGAGCGCAAGCTCGTACCTCTTTTATTTTCCTCTTGTGTTTTGCCCTGGTGCTTCCCGTACCACGTCCTTGAAACTTAGCCCCCGTTCCCCTGCCACCACTTCTCTTGTTGGCCCTCACCTCTCCAGATCAAGCTTGTTCGCGAAAAGGGGAAGGACTCTAGCCTGTGGGTGGTAGACCTTGCGGGCAGCGAGCGCAGCGGCCGCACGGGGGCGGGCGCGTCGAGCACCAGACAGAAGGAAGCCAACAACATCAACAAGAGTCTCAGCACCCTGTGGCACTGCTTGACCATCATGCGGTGCGTCACACACGCCCTCACCCTTTTCGTGGTCGTCATTGTTCTTGATGACATCTAGGGAACGCGCGTGGGTGTGGGGGGGGGGGTTTCGTACCTGTTCTTTAGGCCTTGCCTGATTCATGTTTCCTGTAGCCCGTTCCGATTGTGTTGTTGTTGTTGTGTGTACGTGCGTTTTTTTTTCGCTGCGTTAACTTTCACACTGGAACCCCTTTCGATTGTTGTGCCATTGTCGTTTTGTATGCTGCATGTGTGTTTTATTTGCAGCGCAAACCTGCGTAAGGAAGAGCCCGAGTCGAGGGTGCCCTTCAGGGAGTCGAAGCTCACCCACCTCTTCAAGAACCATCTCCAGGTACGTTTTTCGAACAACAGGCGTGATCCCGGTTTAGCGGTTAGTTCCTTCCCTGTGTGTAGCGGGATGCCCTGAATAACCTCGTGGCACGGCTGCACCTCAGTAGTCAAAGTACAATATAACTGCCAATCCGGTTTTGCGGCGATGCACTCAATAGCGGCAACAACGGTTTGTGACACTATGGACCGCTAAACCGGGCCCCCCCACTGTAGAGCGCAACTGCCGTGGCATGCACACGTTAAGGCTAGGATACGAACATCAGGAGAACAGAACAAGAGCAGTAGCGCAATGTTACACACACGATAAAGCTGTCCCGGCAGCCTCCATGAGCTTGGTCAACTCTTTTTTTGGAATCGTTTTGGCCTCACCGCCGGTGGTGTCAAGCTGTCCATCAAGGGCTAACACAGGTGTGCGTAGCCACAGGTACATAAAACACCAATCCATACAAAAACAGTACAGTTCTTTAAACTGTACATAAAAATTTTGTAATGCTCACGCGCCATTGGTTACTCTTTCACTGGTACACAACTTCTCGTGCGTGACAACCCGTATGGATGTGCGCGAATGATGCTGAGCCGTGACGGCACACAACAAGCAACGGCCGTCCAAGAGCCAGCAGCCCAGTGCCACACCCACCCACCCACCCACCCACCTTTTTTTTTTTTTGTAGGGGCCCGCCGCAGGCAAGACGGTAATGGTGGTTAACATCAACCCATCCACGGACGACTTCGACGAGACGCAACAAGGTCGGTCAGACCATCCCTTGGTGTTGCTGCTGTGTTGTTGGGAGTTCAACTGCCGGAGGGGGAGCTCAACAGGGGCAAGGAGGGGGTGTACGGCTTGAAGTTGCTCGACCATGACTCTATCCCTAAGCGGTGTTGCCTAGTGTGTTTGTACCTGATACCTATCTATTTTGTCAACGGTGTAGTTTGGTGTCTGGGGACTATTTGTAATGTTGTAATCTCGTCGTTTCCGTTTTTTTACCGTTTTTTTTTTTTTGTGTGCTGCGTTTGGCAGTGCTGAAGAACAGCACGATCGGGGCTAACACCATCTCGTCGTTTTCGTTTCCTATTGTTTTGTTTTCTTGCTGTGTTTGGCAGTGCTGAAGAACAGCACGATCGCGCGAGAGGTTAAGACGGTCAGGGATGACAGCGCCGCCAACCGGCAGAACGGCCTCATACACACTCCCTACGGGTAAGCAAGCAGCCTCGAAATGCTTAATTACTTGAAAATACCATACAGATGGTTCCTCCGGGTAAGCGAGCAGCCTCGCAAATGCTGAATTTGCTTGAAAATAATATACAGATGATTCCTGCGGGTAAGCGGGCAGCTCCGAAGATGTTGAGTTACTTGGAAATATTTCGCCGCACGTATGTGCGGTGTATGGTGTACCATGTGGTATGCTTACACGGTACATGGGGTCGTATATATGATTTAGCTGGTGATCCCTACGGGTCAGCGGGGAGTCTGACCCGACCTGACCCCTGTTCTGGACGAAGAAACGTTCAGAAGGTGTATCGTTTGGTGCTATCGTACAGCAGTATCAAGGGCTATCGCTGTAACGTGCCGTCTAAGGACCTTGGTTGTATGATGATGCCAAGGGCAACTGTGCGATGAAAAGCGCCGTGTATCGTTCGGTGCTATGCTATCAATTCTTGCGGAAAGTGCGGTGTATCGTTTGGTGGTGTCGAGGGCTACGATATCTCCCATCTTTCCCCCTCGTTCCGTCTTTGTGCTCGGATCACGATATTTAGTACTTGTCCCACTTTCTTGCGCTTCTGGTCCCTCCCCGCACCGCGTCGATGTGCTATTCTTTCACTTACACACCCATGTCGGTGTGATATTCTGTCTCAGGGTTGAATTTCAGGGGTCGTGCTGCCCCCCGCCAAGAGTGCTCGGTGTGATGCCGATGCACGTTCTTCCTCATCCTGTCCATTGCTACATGTACGGAGTACGTAGATATATATCCACATGGGTTCGTTGCTTTTATTTGTTGGCGTCAGGTTTAACGGCCGCAAGATGGTGGTGAAGAAGCCGCAGGCGTCGCGCAGAAGCATCCACCAGGCCGTCGCCCCCAAGCTGGAGGGGCTCGACCTTCCACCCCCCCGCAAGAACGCCACCCAGGTCGGTTGTCAACTCCCAACACCTTCTTCATATCATTTTTCCATATTTTCGAGGAATCTCTTCCTGACCCTCCTAGGGACCGGCCCGGTGAGAACCCGGCGTGCTCCGTCCCGGCTTTGTAGGGATGCGAGGTCAATGGTCTAACGACTACGGCATGCACGACTATGATTACACACACATACACACACACACCTTCTTTTTCTTTTTCGTCCGTTGGTTGGTTTGGGGTGATGGGTCGGCCACGGCTGTATGACACGTGGCATGTGCGGAGCTATGTATATTGTACGAGTGAACATCCCGTCAGACCTCATGAGAGCGTAGATAGACATCCGATTTGATGGACACCGACATTCGCTGGACTTCATGTACTTGCTGTTAACGTATTTTTCACTCGTGTAACCATGTGAGATTAACGTTTTGTTTTCTTCTGGGAAGACATTTTTTCTGCCGAGACAATGCCCAAATTGAAGGACTGTGTTGAACTACGTTTCCGATGTTCCCGACAGGTATGACTCTTTCGTTTTCTTTCCGAACGAGATACTACCCCAATTGAAGGCATGGATGGAAGACTTCACATATTTCGATGTTCCGGACATTTTTTTTTTTTGGCTTCTTGCCGAGCAGGCTTCCAAGCGCGCCATGCCAAGCCACGGGGACACTGACTGCGGTTCCGATGGCGAAGCCGATCGAGCGGGGGGAGAGGAGGAAGAGGAGGGGGGCTACATGTCGGGAGCGGAGTCGGACAGCGGACTGGTGGACACTCGGCAGAGCATGAATCTCGTCGTCCGCAACCTGCAGGTGAGGAAATGCTGGATGTGGAGGCGAACAGAATTGGTGACAGGCATGTGTGGTCTCGTTTCGGTAGAGAGAACAGAAGTGGTGATAATACTCTGGCGTTGTTTTACTGGAGAGCCGGGAAACGACAGGAAGGTGTGAAGGTAAACATGCTGGATGGAAAGAATGCGGCCTCGTTGCACTAGACAACCGCATCTCGCCGGCGCATCCGGCAGCTCACAACATGACCTTGGGTCGTACATAGCGCCTATGCCGAGAACCCCACATTGCGTCCTAGGCAAAGTCAGACTTAGGGTGGTTGAGGGAATGAAAGATTCAATGTTTTTTTCATTTTTGTTGTTCGATACACTGCCTGTGCAGCAGTAAGTGTTATTTCTATGCAAAATATGCTTACAGAGTGCGTGTTTACGATGCTTCAACGTATTTTTGCTCTCTTGTTTTCGATACTGCCTGCAGGTGGACAACGCCGCCCTCAAGACGAAGCTTAAGGCCACGCTCTCCAACAAGAAGAAGAAGGAGGCTGTCCTAGGCCACCAGGTGATTGGCACGCGTTTGGTGGATCGGCTGGCTGTGTGCATGGGCCGGCGGTGGTTGTTGTAGAATTGTGGACGGTGCTCTCTTGCGTGAGATTTCGGAAGTATCAGCTAACGACGTGGCCCCCTGTAGGGTGGATGTCCTGTTGCTCTTGTTGTTGTTGCTGCTGCTGCTGGCATTTCATGATGTCCTGTCCACCCAAAAGGATGTGCCCTCTCAGTAATTTTGAAGCATAGTACTGCTGACGCGTATATTGGTGCTCGGGCATACACAAACAGTTGTTGGTCGCTACTTCTCTTCTTGTTGCGATCAGTTTTTTTTTTTTTTCGGAAGCCGTTTTGCAGCAGGGTTTCGGTGAGTCTTGTTGTTGCTTTCACACTGACGTTGTCCGTCCGTCCTCCGGGCGTGGAATTTGCACCGTGCTGGCCCAACCGTTGCAACAATCCTGACACATCCATCTGAAAAAATATTTTCATCTTGTTTTTAGATAATATACATATACAACAGTGCCGGGTACGATGTAAGAGAAAGTACGGTGTAAGATTATTGTGATGTCGGCTTGTCACGTCTTCTCTTTTATCGTAGCCGGCACTGCTGTACAATCAAATAAAGACTACTCGTTGGAGATATAAGAACAGTCCAAGGGGGGGTGTTGAATTGAAGGCTTTGCAGTGAGTCCCGAACTTTTTTTGTTCTCGTGTGGTGTTTGGTTGATTTAAGTGGTGCTATTGCATTGCAGTCCATCTCCGGGGGTATTTCCTTTTTTTTTTTTCTAAAACAACGAATCCATGTACATCCATAAGTAGTTGTTGTCTTCACATTAAAAGCCGTTTCGATTTTTTATCTACCCAGCACCTTCGTCTGTCCGTACTAGTCAGTAGTTGAGGATCAATTAGCACTGATTATGGAAACCAATGTGGAGGACCACCTTCATAGTGGTCCAATCTCCCCAACCTCTGTCGAGGACGAATCCCTCTTTTGACACGAATATGCATACCTGTTATTTGTTTATTTTTTCCTCGTATGGCGATTTGTTTCTGTGCTGTCGTTGCAGCCGATCTCCGGGGGCCCAGTGGAGCAGTACATCAGCCTCCTGGAGGACAGGGTTACCTCGGCGGAGGCAAGGATGGAAGAGATGAGGCAGGACCACGCCGCTGAGATCGAAGAGCTAGAGGCTGAGTTCGAGGTGTGTATGGTCATCAGGACAAAATTCCCCATGATTGATCTTGATGCTGAGGTAATGCATATGTATAATCATGAAGACGAAGAGTCCCATGATCGATTTTGATGCTGAGGTCGAAGGGCTAGAGGCTGAGGTCGAGGTGTGTATGGCCATGAAGACAAAGAGCCCAACGATCAGTTTTGATGCTGAGGTTGAAGAGCTAGAGGCTGAGTACGAGGTATGCACAGTGGTGTCGACATCTCGAGACGTAATGCGCGTAGCGCAGTGCATGGTAGCGCTCTCCAACCCAATCACCCCCCCCCCCCCTTTCTCCCCCTTCGCTTTTTTTTGTTTTTTCGCAGAGCTTTCTGTCGGAGAATGGTCTTGAAGGCGAAGGCGAAGGCGGGGACGTTGGGAAACCAACGCCTGCTGCGGCGGACGATGGCGCTACCGCCGCCATTGTCGAACGCCTGCGCGAAGAGGTGAGAAGAAGGTTAACCGGCGATGCTCTTACTCTTCGACGGCTGAAGACGAGAAAGTTTACTTCTTTGTCTGCTTTTCGTGTTGACCATGTGTGTATTGCTTTGTGGCCTGAACAGCCTGCCTTCTTTCCTCCTTATAGTTTTTGGTCATCAACTGCCCCCCTGGGGGTTGTGTTTGTTTGCCCCATTCTTGTTGCTTACCGCCACTATTGCTTCATTGCGCCGTTTGTGTGTGACTCTTGCTTGACGTTCTTCTATAGTAGGTGGACTTGAGGAATTTTTGTCCGCCCAGGTTTAGTTCTTCTTGTTGACAGCATTTCGTGTGCAAAGTCTCGGTTGATCAGAGAACAAAATCCTCGCCTTTGTCGCGCCGCTTATTGGCCCGGTGTTTGTTCGTTCTGCGTTCAACCGCGCCCCGCCGCACAGGTGCGAGTGGCCAACCTACAGGCCGACCAGTGGAAGAAGGAGGCCGAGACTCTCCGCGACAGGCTGCACAAGGACAAGGAGCCCGGCGGCTCAACGAGGTCTCCGCTCCGACAATCTACGGGATCTACCGGTCGCACGTCGCTGGAGAACCGACAGGTGAAGGTTTGATGTATTCTCTTCCGTGTTTCTTTATTTTTTATTTTATTTTACTTTTTTTACTAAAAACACAACACGTATCTCTACCTCTTCCACAGGTGAGATGAGAGTCCGTGATAGATTAGCAATGTTGTTTTTTCTTATCCGTACATGGATATTTGTTTTGAAGCTGCTGTGAAACGGGTGTGCTTTGTTTTTTTCGGGTTCTCGCTCGTGCTATGTGTGTGACAAGTTCGACCTGTCTTGGCGGGAAGTTTTTCGTTCTGGATCTCGTTGATGATCACCGCTCGAGGACGGTGGAAAGAACAGTCGCAGCCCGCAGTGTGTCACTCGCTCGTTGAAATAATCTGCTTCGAAGTATACAATCACTGAACGGCGGTTGTAGAAGTACAGGTACAAGATATCCGGTCGACGGACCCGATTTCATCTTTTGATTGTTTGTTATCGTTCTCGTCTACACAATCTCGCCGCACTACCGCTTTGAATAGGACGACGGAGAGAACAGCCCTCCGATGGTGCACAACAACGGCGGCCCCGCCCCGGGAGGTGTCGGGTCCCCCTCGAAAAACATTCCGCGGAACCCCGTGGCCTCCTCGCCCAACAAGAACAAGGCCTCCGCGCTCCCCACCAAGAAGAAAAAGAAGGCTTCAAACTCCGGGTACCCTCCCATCGCCGCCGCCGCCGCCGCGGCCGCCGGCGCAACCGCTGCCGGTTCGGCTCAGCCGAACCCGTCGGGGGGGAAGCAGGCGCGGAAGGTGGCCGATTCCGCCAGCAGCAGCGCCAGGGAGAGCGGAGCTTCGGGCGAGAAGACGGTCGGGGGGGAGGGGACCCGCGTCCACCGGGAGTCGAGGGAGAGCGGCGGGTGCTGGGGGAGCAAGGGGAAGGTGGTGGTGGCGGTCTCGAGGCGGGTGTCGGTGCTGCGCGTTAGCACCGCCGGAAGCAGGAGGTGAGGAAGGGGAGGAGCCTTAGGAGTAGTCGATGGGCTGGTGCTTGGACGAGTCACGCTGGGGTTGACATAGAGTTGGAGTACAGGTATGGTTGAGGTCATGCTTGCCGAAGGTCCACGCTTTGGTGCAAGGACTGACACGTGTTCTGTTTTTCACACATCCGACAAGATCGATCAGTATGTACGGTTCGTGTTTACACGGCCGTACGCTCTCCGCGGCTCGTTAATGTCAAATTCACGCACGCACACGAACAGCGGCGACTCTTCACAGCACCGACGCCTGAACCCCCCCCCTTTTTTTTTTTAAACGTAGCCTGGGCCGGAGAAAACCCTGCACTGCTGTAGAAATGCGATGTCCGTAGGTCCTTGGTCAAGCGACGACGGCATGCGTTCACATTTGTACACCCCCCCCATTCCTAAGCTCCGTCGTCTCGAGGACGGCGTGGTCAATGGTCAAACAATTGCGCTCTAAGTGAGGCATTCTTCTGCACGCTCGCCTTGCGAACATGGATAAGTACGATTTCGGTGTACATGGCAGGAGCAGAAGACTCACACGAAGAGAGGCAGATAGCAGTCACGTCTCAAATGCCCCCCTCCGTCCTCTCGAAGACGCGTGGCCAATGGTCTATCAACGAAGGCATCCAAAACATGAGCACGCCCCCCTTGCGAACACAACAATAATGCCTGGCGTTCCGTTCAAACACTTGCGCGGCAGGGTGTCCTCCGTGCGCGCGTCTTTCGCCAACGGCCGTAGGGCTTCCCGCGCGTCGTACGCGGCGGGTACCCGTCGCGTGTCCCAGCTCGCGCGCTCGCGGACTAGCGTCGCCGCCGCCGCTGGACACACCTCCGGCGAAGCATCGTCGTCGGGGGACTTGGGGACTTCCCCCGTCAAGGAGGACGAGGAGATGGAGGAGGGATTGCGCCAGGAGGACGGGCCGTCGTCGAGACGGGAGAGCGCCATGCTCCTGGTGAGACAGGCAGGCTTGTGCGGTTGTGGGGTCATCGTAGAAATCGAAATCGAGCAGGGACCCCACGACTAACGTTGACCGTTACAGAGGCCGAATCGAACCATTGGACTGGACGTCGTCGGCCTTGGTTGTGGCTTATAGAAGCTGAATTCAAGTTCGGACCGCAAGACCAAGATTAATAAAAGCCAAAGAACCATTCGTTGCCAGCAGCTGAATATTAGTCTGATGGTGTAATTCCAGCTCCCACATGGTCTTGAAAGGACAATGCGTTCGTAGGTGTTTTCTCGTTCTTTCTGCGGAAAGGCGTTCAGGCGATATTGAGTGTTTTGGGAGAACTTGGACACTGACACATGATACGTGGTTGACAGATACCCCTTTTTTTACCTTCAAAGTCCAACGAGTAAATTGAAAAGGCGTTGGCTCATACGACAATGATCACGTAGCGTGTCGTTCTTGTGCGTTGGTGTGTACCGTACCTGTGTTCGTCCAGGCGGCCCAACAGGAAGAGAACTTCTTCGAGAAGGCCCGCCGCTGCGTTCTTCGCGCGATCGGCGTGAGCAGGAAGAGCGGCCAGGGCGAGGAGGGAAGCTTCTCCGGGCCCGGGTCGATGCGCGGCGGAAACAGCCCCATCGTAGCCGAAACGGCGGCGGAAATCGCCCTCAGGCACAAGATCAAGGTCAGTCCAACCACACGGGGTTCCTGCTGCTGCTGCTGCTTTTGTTATTGTTGTTGTTGTTGTTAAAGTCCAGTCCAAAACACACGGGATTGCTGTTGCTTTTGTTGTTGTCAGAGGTGGTGGTGAAATTGTCGGTACGTCGCGCTCGGGTGTGTGCAAGGTTTATACAACCCGCGAACGCGTGGAGTTGGCATTGGTGTTGTGAGGTCGATACGATGTGCGCCGTGTTCAGCATCGATCCCGCGTCCCGCCCTGGTAAAGACCACCTACTGGCTGTGTACCTTATTTAAGGCATTGTTTGTTGTTGTACCCTATTGGGGGATGTTCCCTGAAATCAAATCCGATTCGAAGACGACCAAATTGGACCCCAAGAGGGTAGGCACACGAGCCGTTTGTTGTTGTTGTTGGGATTCCTCGTCAGTAACAACAGCATCATCACCACAACATCCGTCACGATCACGTCTTGACCTGAGGAAATCGAGCTACAGTGGGGGTCCCTGTTTAGTGCCGATTGGATAGTGCCAATGCCCCGTGTAGTGCCGGTATAGTGTTTTCGGCGGGCACACACTGAATTTCCATGTTAAGTTATCCTCAATGGTTTGAATAGTGCCTGTCCGGTACGGTGTCGGTGATTATTCTGGGCACATACCGGCACTACACAGGGACCCCCTGATACTGGTTAAACTTTTGAAAAACGTAGCCTGGGCCGGCGAAATGCCGGCTTACGCTCCTTTCCGGCAGCATTGCAGGGATGCAATATCTATGGTCTACCAGCGACGGCATGGTTCTTTTGTGAATAGTATTACTCACCTCGCGCGCGGTATTTGTTCGCTTCCTAAGATGGATTGCCGGTGGTGGCTCCGGTGCCAAGAAGGTGGTGGGGCAGAGGCCCTCGACCCTCTTGCGTCGGAGCCCCCTCTTATACCGGACCACGAGGAAACGTAACCTCTGTACCATAGCGGGTCGAGTGCGAGACAACCAATTTTCGACCCTCTTATATCGGAGACACGACTGTTCTGTATGCACCACTTGTCACCGCTACTGCATTTACTGCTGCCGTCCTTGTCCTATCAATAGGTCAAGATGTTCCATACCCTTTGTCGCCGCTGCTGCCCTTACCGTTGCCATCCTTGCCCTACCAATAGGTCAAGATGCCCAAGCGCCCCGGTAAGAAGGCGATGGACCGTGCCAGCGTCGACGACCACGCGTGGGACGTGGAGCAGCAGGAGGGACCCGACACGTTCGATGAGGCGGAAGGCGTTATCGAGGAGGCTGATGAGGAGTCGGGGGGTTATCCGAACAGGGTGCGTGAGGGAGTGGCGGAGTTGGTGGTCGTTGGAGTTGTTGTTGTCGTTGCGGTGGCGGCTGCTGTGGCGGCCAGGCTGTTTGCTTGTCCTGTTTCATCTACGGCTTGTGACACTCTTTTCCGTGCCATTCCCACCTGCCGCTTGCTGTGGGCCACCGTTTCTGTACCAGGCGTCTTCATCCGCAGTGATCAGCGGCATCGAACGCTGGGTGTTCGGCGGGAAGCAGGAGCGGGTGAGTCGCTAAAACGAGTCGGCCGCGGCAATTCGTGACGTTAGTTAGTTATGCCCTTTGGAATCATTGATACCATCATCGCGGCAGATAACTACTGTAGTAGTTCACGACAAAACACGAATCGATGTGAGGAGTTTACACTTTGGAGTACTCTGTATGTTGCAACTTTTGCTGACAACAGATGCCCGTCTTGTAATTTTTTTTCCCACCTGTTGTCCAGAGGGTTGTCATGAACTCGCGGCCTTGTCACGCACGTGATGCATGAATTGTTTAGATCATCGAGTTTCGATTGCCACCGCATCGCGTTCAAATCACGCAAACTTGATTTTCGAAGGTGCACTGAACAAATGAACGGAAAATCTTCTTGTATTGCCAAGAAAACAGCAACCGCAACATCTCAGCTCGCTCTTCCCATCCACGCACTTCCTTGCACGGCTGCATACCCCACGTTCGCAAAACACACACACAAAAAAAAATATATATATATATAAGGTACAAGTGGCCCTCACTCTTACCCTGCACCGCCCCCCCTGCTTTCCTTGACTCACTCACTACCTCCACGTGCGAACGAACTGCAAAAGACTACGCCGATCATGAGCCCGAATAGGAACAAGCCTGCTACGGCTGGACCATCCTCGACGGCAGAAGTTAGCCCGGCCCCGGGCACCACCACCATGCACGATTACGTGCGAGCGATGTAGAGAGGGGTTAAGAGCTAGCTCTCGTGAACAAAGCAAAGCAAGTTGGATATTCTTCGGTACTTGGCAACGGTCAGCCAACATATGCTCGTCGAGCTGGCACCGCCATGCGTTCGTTGCGGAGCTGCTTTGTTCAAATGTAGAGAGGAGGACCAGTTGTCTTTCCGGTTATCGAAGCTAGTGCGGTGCGGAGCCGCCGTCTCTCGTTAACAGAGCGAGGCCTGCAGAGGGCGGGGGCTGGTGCGAATGGGGAAAGCATCTTGGGGCGCGAAAGTAGTGGTGGGCGTTTAACCCAGCCATGTAGGATACGGAAGGGGCGGCGAAAGAGTCACTGGTGATTCTCGTTTGGTCGGGTGGGATCGGCCTATGCCGTGCTGTGGTCTCGCGTGCGGCTTTCTCGACCCCGAGAAAGCAAAGAAGGGCGGGGGGTGGGGTGGGTGGGGGGGGAGGAAGGATGTTGAGCTGAGGAATAACAGAACTTT